AACAAAAGCACGTATTGGCACAGTGCAACATGTCTTCAAAATGATACTGCCGGCTATCTGCTGTATCTTAATTCAACACCCGGCTCAATAGCTCCGGAAAGGCCTGAGGAGATCAGCAAAACCAACCGCGTTTGTTTTATCAGTGCGGCCGGGTTGCTATGCAAAGCTGTAGAAACCACAGGACAGGTGGTGCACAGTGATTTCCACTCATTTTTTCCACCCACAGGAGATGCTGCATTTGTGCTTTACAAGGCATCCTTGCCATGCCTCTGCCAGCAGGAGGCTGAGCTCTGCACTGGGTCAGCACCCTTGGTTCTCTTGCCCCACCCGTTCCCCAAGAGGGCCTCCGATTTTGCCGTGGGACCCTGTGGCATCTGTGAAGCCATTATGAGCACTTCCCACTCGTCCCGTAATGGGCATCTTTGCTGCAGGCGTGGCTCCCATTGCATGGCACCATGTGGCATGGCAGCCCCTGCTCGAGCTGGCCAGGGTTTCTGGGTTCTGAGCTTCCTGATGTAAGAGCCGCAAATCTTAATCCCCCAGGGCCCAGCACAGTGCATGGCACGCAGAGGCGATGGGTAAGTACCTGCCACGGGACTTAATTCTCATCATATCCGAGAACATCGCAAGCGAAGCCAGGCTGGTTAATGAGCAGACAGAAAGGAAACCGTGAGTGAGTGGCATGGAAGCTAGACAGCTGATACAAGGAATGGCTTGCTCTCTCCCCTTCGCTGTCCCTGAGCTGGCCTGCTGAAACGACCCAGGGACTTTCAGAAATCTCTACATCTGTCCCCACCTAGGTTTGGGGGGCAGTACTGAGGTCCCATTCCTTTTATGTCCACCCATAAAGCAGGTGTCTTATGTACCTTTTCTAGCTTAGCTCCCTCGGCATCCTACACTGGAAATGACAGGATGTCATCAATGGCTAAAGATTTTTAAAGTTTTGGTTCTTAGAAAGGTACCAGGACAACAGAAGACATCTCCGTCTTCAAGAATCCTACTTGAAATAGGATTTTTACTGGCTAATTTTTAAGTTGATGTATTCATCCAACAATAGCTTCCTGCTAGAGCCAGGACCCTGCACCAAATGGACTGACGTCCCAGTCTCGGGAACGTCCCACTCCAGGTGGTGGGCGGAAATGAAACAGTTAAATAAAGTGGCTAGACGGTCCTCTTGGGATAAGTCCTTTGAAGAAAATCAAAGCAGGGATGGGAGGCGGCTGGGCTGCAACATGGAATGGGGATATTAGGGACGTCCTTGTGGGACGATACATTCGATCAGGACCTGAAGGGGGCAGCAGCTCTCTGGGGGTGGGAGGGGCTGTGTGCAGACCCCAGTAGGGGTGGGCGTGGAGGGACGAAAGGTGGGCCTCACAGGCTGCTGGAGAAAGTTTGGCCTTTACTGAGAGGGGAGAAGGAAGCCACTGGACGGCTGGAGCAGAGGCTGCTGGTCTGATGCTGGTCTGGCCACGACGTGGGGGCCCCTGGGGCGGTGCTGGTGGGCCAGCCAGGGGCGCCAGGAGCAGGGCAGCATGGGCCGATGCTGGGCATCTGCCGAGGACGGTGCCGACAAAGAGGGACGTGAAAGGAGGCCTGAGCCCCTGGAAGGTGGAGTCGCCCTGGACAGCGACGGCAGGGGGGCCGGGTCGGGGGAAGACTGTGGGGAGGGGGTGTGGACACAGAGAGCAGGAACTCTGTTTGACCATGTCCATCTGATGTGCTGTTGAGATGTCAGAAAATCTGTCCAAAGTTTGCAAGAGGCCAGCAAGATTCCTGGGTATTCTTCCTGTGCAATGTTGGGCTCGACTGCCGTTGGGCTGGGCAGTTTTTAGCTTCTCTCATGGACTTTTGTCTCTTGGATCAGAAGCCCCCAAAGATTACAGTTTGTGGCCCCACTGGGTCTGTAACCCAGCAAACTTGTCCTTGCATTTCTTTGCTAGACTGTCTATATACATGTAGCTTCTTGACTGCCCTTTGGACTGGTTTTAACAACCCACTGGTTCCCTTACTGACTAATGAGTTAAATAAACATCTTGGCCGCGTGTTTATTTACTTTGCCTGAGGATCACAATTTCACCACTTTAAAAATTCTGTGTTGACCATGCCCCAGTGGAGAGGTTGGCAGGCAGTCAGCTGTGAGCACCTGGAGCCCCGGCACAGGTCAGCCCAGTCCCCCAGGGAGGGGTGTCTGTCTGCAAGCTGGAGTTTATAGCCTATGAATGATCACAGGAGCCAGCCCCCGGCTCTGTGCATTATCTCACTTAATTTTTGCAGCCGCCCATGAGAGTAAACAGTTTTATTATTAATGTTTATCTCCGTTTTACAGATGAGGAAACTGAATCAGGAGAGGTTGAATAATTTGGCCAAGATCACAGAGCCAGAGTTTGAACCTAGAAAACTCTCGCTCTAAACCAGTATTTCTCAGTCTGGGGACATTTGGTGATGACTGCAGACGTTTTTGATCATCACATCTGGGGGGAGGGAGGATGTCACTGGCATCTAGTGGGCAGAGGTCGGGGAGGCTACCAACACTCTGTGATGCATAGCACACCCCGCCCCTGCCCAAGTGTCAGCAGTGCAGAGGTTGAGAAACTTGGGCCTAGACTGTGGCACTGCCACCTCCAGACCAGGTGGGCCTCCTCTGCTCCCCCGTGGCCCTTCCATGTCTGCGGTTATTCACTTGCTGGTAACAATCTGTCCCGGGTCTGTCTCCCCATCCCCACTGTAAGCTCCATTCACCGCTGGCTCTCAGCGCTCAGTCTACGATTGGCAAATACTGATATCTGCTCCACCATGAGTCCATGATTTCTGACATATTTGTGCTCACTTAAAAAAAAAAAGTCTCAAGGCTGTGTGGCAGAGCAGCAGTGTGAGAAAGTGTAATGTTTACACACTACAGAGTTATATCGCATAGAAAATGCGTTGTTGCATTTAGAGCAGGAAATCAGAGCAGGCAGGAAACCTAAAACCCAGCATCCAAACTCCAGTCCTGACTGAGGCTAATTTTTCATTGTCCTTGAAGCTAATCAAGCCTGCAGAAACAGCATCACCAAATTGACTAAACGAGATTTTCAATTAACTCAAACAGATGGCTGAAATTTTCCAGGTGACTTTCCATATTAATTCGGCGAGTTTGCTGGACCAGGCCCCAGGAGGCTTGGCAGGGATGGGGGCCGAAGGGAAAACAATGAAATATATGGATCTTCAGGAGAGAAGCCAAAGCAATAATCTTCAACATTTTTGTTTTTTTAAATCTCAGCAAACATATCCTCAGCCAAATCAATTCAACTCCCCTAAGCAGCAGGCACTGCAGCCGCTGCCCCAGGGTGGATCGTCAGGGTTGGCTCTGGGACCAGCTGCTTGGGGGCCAGGTTCATTAACCCTCTGGGGAGAATCTGGCCTCCCGCAAGGCAGAAGACAAGTGTGGGGCCGGGAGGGGTGGGCAGCTCGTCGCCCTTTTTAGAGCCCTGGACGTCTGTGCTGGGCCTGTTCACCCAAGGACCTCAAGGCATTTTGGTTTCACTGAAGGACGAGGAGTTGAAAGAACCTCAGCAGAATTCTGCAGAGGGCTCAGGCTTCTGTGCAGGTGCTGGGGTGTGGGACAAGGACAGCAGTGGAAGCCACTGCAGATGAAGAGCATGTCATTCAGAGAGGATCACAGTCAGCAGGTGC